TCACACTTCTGAAATCTGCCCATGTATCTGTGTTCCATCTTTCTCGACCGAGCAGCAAAGAGATTGGCCTTTTATATTTTAAAGTTCTACCCATACGGCATCATTTGAGAAACTCTTTAAGATACTTCCTCCTCAATGCAGAAGTTGACTCCTTGATCAGTATTGCGAAACTACATCCTTTTACACCCATTCTACCTAGCTCAAAGATTCTGTGCCCCAGAATGTTGAACTGCCAGTCCTGTCTCTCCCTCGACCATGTCTCTGTGATAGCAATGGTATTATGTCCCCATATATTAACCAACACCCACAACTCAACTGCCTTATACGCAAGACTTTTTGTGTTAGAATAAATGCCATCCATCCTTGCCATGCTTCCTCGTGCCTTACCTTAACTAAGTTTAGCACTTCTAGACTGACTTGGTTCCTCTTCTATACACTGTGTACATCACCCCTACTGTATCTCCACTCTGTATCCCTTCCGCCTGCCAAATTAGCTTAAACCGCCCCACAAGGATGTTGGTCCCATTCTGGCCTATTGTACAGGCACACCTTTGCCAGAAAACAAACACAGGGATCCAGGAAGGTAAAACTCTCCCTCCTGCTCCAACACCTCAGCCACACATTTATCTGATCTATCTGCTACTCCTGTGTTGACTGGTGTGTGGTACCTGGAGTAATCCAGGGATTAACAATTTTTGAGATCCTGCTTTTAAATTTGCTATCTAGCTGTGTGAATTTTTGTTCCAGTACTTTGTTCCCTTTTCTACCTATGTCATTGGCCCCAATGTGAAACATGATCTCTGATGGTTTACTCTCCTCGTTCAGAATGACCTGCAACCTTTCGGTGACATTCAGGCCCCAGGAAGACAACACGTCATCCTGGAGTCCTGTCTGCAGCCGCAGAAGCACCTGTCTGTGTACCCCTCACTGTTTAATCTGCTACCACTATTGTTCTCCATTTCCCCACTGACCAGAGAAACCATCGTTCTTGATGCTTTCTAGCGCACACAACCTATTCTTGAGGGAGATGCACTCTGGAGCTTTCCTGATGAGTATCTACCTGCCACTGTTCGTCTGATTAGTCACTCATTCCCTCTATGACAGCATTCCCTTAAGCTGTGGGGTAACCATATTGAAAAGTATGCTATCCAGTAACACTCCGCCTCACTGATGCACTGTAGTTCCTCCACCCAATGCTTAAGCTGATCAAACTGCTGGCAACAATGCCTGTTCTTCCTCAGGCATGTCCATACGGCCCTTCACTAACTTCCATATGTACGCAATTGAAAGCATACTGTCCGGTACATAACAGCCTGGTACGGCAACTGCTCTGCCCAGGACCGTGAGAACCTACAGAAGGTTGTGTGCCCAGCTCAGACCATCATGGAAGCCAACCTTCCATCCATGGACTGCATTTACATGGCTCACTGCCACAGAAAGAGGGCCAACATTGTCAAAGACCCATTGCACCCTGGTACTGACCTCCTACAACTTCTTCCATCAGGCAGAGCACACCAGCAGGTTCAGGAACGGCTTCTTCTGGACCATTATTAGACTGATGAATGGGCTGTCTAGCCTCAAAAGCTGGTCTCACAAATGTTGATCTTGCTTAGCGTGTACTCTGTACAATGCAACCTGTATGTGTTGAAGTCTTTTTGAACCGTACATGCTTGCTTACTATGTTCTGCCTGTACTGCTCGTAAACAAAGCCTTTCACTGTACTTTGGTAGATATGACAATCAATCAATCAACCAGTCAATCTCCTGTGGATGTGGTTGTCCAGATTGCCAGGACCATCTAAGATTTCTTATAAGTTTCTTTCTGGTTTCTGCCACCAAACCTCATAGTAAGTATTAATTAATTGACCAGAATCATGAATACTACAAAGTTACAAAAAGGTTCCTTAGAACGTCTAAATGTTTTCCTGTAATAAAAGCAAAGTGCTGCAGATGCTGGAAATCTGAAAGGAAACCGAGGTACTGGAGAACCTCAGCAGGTGGAGAGAGAAATAATGTGACTGACTTAATGTTATTGCTGTTTGTCTGTACAGGTGCTGTCAGATCTGCTGAGTTTCTCCAATGCTTAGTGCTTTCATTTTTTTCTGTAATGTTGTATTTGCAGAATGAAGACCTGGCAAGTTACCTTAGGGAAGGGAGTCTAATGTGAATTACTGTTTATCTCCCAACAGATGGTTTAAAAAATTGCAATGCTAGAGCCCTGGGTACAGTTTGTTTTCTGTCCCCTCTGAGTTATTCATGGTCTGCATATTGGGGAAGAGTGAAGAGAACAACTGATTTTTATTGTGTGTATTCATTTAAACTAATTCAAAACTTTCTGACAATGACTGAACAGTTAATGCACCACAGACTTAGATTGTTGATAGGTCTCAACAGAATTTTCCAATTTGGTGCAAAATCATTGAAAACCAGAAAATAACTTGAATTTCTTTACTTCAGAATGCAAAAAGTTAGAAGTTCCATGAACTTGCATTATTTTCAGGTAATTAATCCTAATACATGAAGTGCAGGGCCTTCTTTTTGTTTTGAATCAATGGCTGCAGTGAGTTTTGTAAAAGAGCATTAGTTCAATGTGCATTTATGGAATCTTGATCTGAAATTAAACTGGACAACTATAAAAGAAGTCAGAATGAATAGAATGCTCTCAAATCACCACAACACACCAGTGACTCATTGTCTTTAGCTCATTTTATTTGAATATTGGCTTTGCAGAGATTAAATTAGTTCTTGAATGATGCCTCTTACGTTGCAATTTTAAGTCCACTCAGAAAACCTATCAAAGAAGCCCAGTCTGGAATGTTTGTAGCTGCCTTGTGCTCCTTCAGTTAAAGGGGCAATTAACATGCTGTGGAGTTCTGTGGTGACCTCGCTCTGTGGAACGTCCAGGAACAATTGTTGCATATCCACGCCAAGAGTTGCTGGGAAAATATGCTGTTATAGCCGCTGTAGTGAGAACTTTTCTTGAACACTTTCACAGATGTATTTCCTTTAAATTTAAAACAGATGAGCTAACACATAAAAGGTGATACAAGACACCAGTCTCTGGAATGTCTCATTAGGTACATTGTTGTTTTGAGTGGAATTTGTTGCACAACTTTATTACAGAATGCTTTGACCTCTTTAAAATTATAGCTTGCTTATTTTCCCCATTTATAAACTATTACAACTGATTACAGAAATTATATATATGTTCCAATTGATCTGTTTTGAATGTTTACTGGCAGATACCATTTTATTGTAATGGCTGGACTGACCTTCAAAGGGTTGTCACTTCATTTATTCTCGTGTTTGTCGGAATAAACGTATTTCTGTTTCAGTAAGTTTTATTGAATGCATAGGGTTTATGGTTGCATAGAATCATATAAAATTTACAGCAGAGAAACAGGCTGTTTGGTCCAGCTGGCCTGTACTGGTGTTTTATCCTCCATACTAGTTTACTTCCACTCTATTCCATCAAATGCTATGATGCATAGCCTTCTCTTCCTTTCTGCTTCATGTGCTTATCCAACTTCCTAATTAATATATCTATGCTGAAACAAGAAGAGAAATTGCTAGAGAAACTCAGTAAATCTGGCAGCATTTGTGGAGAGAGAACGGACTTACGTTCCAATGACCTTTCTCCTGAACTGATTAGTGTCTAGGAAAAAGTGGTAATTATGCTGATGACAAGGCGTTGGGGTGGGAGGGGAAAGGAGTAGGCCTCCCATCCTCCCCTCCCTGTCATCAGCATAGTTACCACATTATCTTAGACACTATCAGTTCTGAAGAAGGTTCATTAGACTCAAAACTTTTAACTCTGTTTCTCTGTCTATAGATGCTGCCAGACCTGTTGAGTTTCTCCAGCAATTTCTGTTTTTGATTTAGATTTACAGCATCTGTATGGTTCTTTATTTTGTTTTAATATTATCTATTATGTTTGCCAATCAAAGAACAAATGTTGGTCAGTCCTGACAAAGGGTTTTGGCCCAAAACGTTGACTTATCTGCTCCTCAGATGCTGTTTGATCTGCTGTGTTTTTCCAGCCTCTCACCTATAGACTCTGGCTTCCACCATCTGACCTCCTTACTGTCTCCAAATATTGATAAAATGTTGAACAATAGTTTGAAAGCAATTAGTGCACTGTCAAATAAGTTGAAACATGAGCCAACGTTGAAGTCTGGTCTGCAGTCACATTAATTTGATTAACATCTTTTATGTTTCTGAGCTCTTACATCATGTAAGAGTTGGTGGAAAACTAAGATGGTAACTTTTAATATTATGGACTAAAATTGCTTTTGTACTTTTTTTTTGCAGTAATTTACATTTTCACTAGGAGGCTCATATAAAATGGTAACAAAAACCCTCTTTGCTATCTGAAAAAGAGAATGGTGCTGCAACTGTTTTGGCAGTCATTGTGCACTTTTTAAATAATGCAAAACCAACAGATTATTTTTGTGATGACTGGCAGCTGTGTGATTTTGAAGTGGTCAGCACTGTTAATACAATTAATATTTAAAAGTGTACTTGACCAATATTAAATTCATACTTTTTAATTCCTTTTTTTCCCTGAGTGCCTAATTTCCAAAAGAAAAACTGGTTTTCTGTTTGTGACGTTCTTGACTTGTGGCTAAGTTCTAAATATTGTCATGTTTAACAGGCATCAGTTATCTTTCGAAAGTGCAGTGAAGTATAGCTCGATGACTATGAAGAAGTTGAGCTGCTAGATTAAATGGACTGAGCATTTGCTTGCTGTCACTGTCACAATTGACATTAATTATTGATAGAAGCTGACATAGCGCATGTGCTAGTAGAAATGACTGTAATATAAGCTAGAAACTGCAGTATGCTTGGGAGGTTGAGGACTGATTCTGTAGCGTAAAGGCCATTTCGTTGCCCGTTGCCCCATTTTATGATGTTGATTTCTGTCTGTAGAGTATATTGTTCCATTACTTAAGATGTAACACAATGAGTCGTCAAGTTTCCTTTCTTCGTGTACCTCCACAGGAGCTGCACAGGAGAACGCCAAGCCAGCCAGAGTCTGCAAAGACGAAGGCCCTTCAGACAGTTATTGAAATGAAGGTAAGGCCACTTCACATAACTACAGGTCACTGTGTAGCATGATGCTGAAAGAAAATGCATATCATTGCAGTGAGCTTATTAATTTTAAACTGATAAAAGTCTGAATGTTTCATATTTAGTTAAACTGATAACTTGTTTTGCAGACACATGTATGCCTAAAGTTTACAGGGAAGTAGTAGTAACATCTGTCAAACAATTCAATATTGCATTTAGGTGATTGTTTGTTTATTTTTCTGCTTTTAGATGTGGAATTTTACTTCTACTGTGTTGGTAGCAATCCTCAAGGAACTGGAATTCTCAACTTAAATTATTAATTGTATAAAAATGCTGCCAAAGCATTAACAATCAGCCAACTTCCTCAGGTTATTAATTTAAAAGCACCATCAAAAGTGAAATAAACACGCAAAAATTTAAAAGCCAAGAACTAAGATATTTGATGTGTACTTTGTGCTATAAAAATTATAGTTCTGTGACTGAAATCGAAGAGGATGTAAATTCACAATCACTGCCTTTTATTGGAAAGTTAGCGTCAGTTAAATGCTCAATTAAAGTTTATTTGGGGAAAAGATCTTCTGATTTTATTAAGTCTTGTCAAATACTGATAATAATTAGTGATATATAACCCTTTGAAGAAGTGATTGACAGGTAAGTTTTCTTGTTTTTTTTGAACTTCGTTACCAATTTCCTTAAGACTTCATGTCTTCAACCCACAGTTAAAGCCCTTCTGTCTGAATTATTGGATGTTACAGAGTTAGGAATTTTGAATTACTAATTTTTATAAATGAAACCTATTCCCTAAAGCTGCTGCTTTTTTTAAAAAAAAAAGTCTTTTTTAAGTATATGATTCATTGTTACCATGTTTGAAGCTGTTTATTGACTGGATTAATCCTAAACTAACCATGATGAAACTTTGAAGCACCAGAACATTAAACTGAGACTAGAGGATTGCACATTTAAAGAAATACAAGTTAAATTGAAATCTGAAGGACAAAAACGTGATAAATTTATCAAATAATAAACACTGCAGTAAATATATAAAATTAAACCATTCCTTTTGGGTAACTAGCCTTTTCAAGAAACGTCTTTCAGAAAGTGTCAGGTTTTTGCAGATTAACGCTTGAGATTCACTTACGGAAGTGACCACCGATGCTGGGCCCAAAGGAAATATCAAGTTCCTCAAAAATGAGAACGTGCCTTTATATGCACAATCTATCCAAATTTCTGTGGCAAACCCCTGGGATTAAATGCATAGAACGTAAACCTATGTCATTCCAATTCAATTTATTGAAATCCTTTGGAAAAGCCAGCAAGCTACCTGTACCACCTCCAGTCTCTCTCAACTGGCAATATCCTGCTTCCGTAGCAATTTGAATCCCGAAGGAATTATATACTTGTGTTTGCTGTACTTAGAACTGAAATAGTTTGTTTCTTGTGTTAAACTGTTGACCAACAACTACGTTACTGCCATAGGTTGAAGCAGGGGGCCTTGCCCCATGCCAGCAAAAAACGTTGTGGCAAACTATTCAAATACTGCTTTGTTTCCTAGTCCCAGCCAAGTCCTATTGTGTAGTCTGACCGTAGCACCTCCAGTGTGCCCATAAAGCTGTTAATTTTACACTTGCTCAAATCCATGCTCCTTTCATTTATATCCATTTGGGATATCTCAGCTCAAGTACAGGTGCATTTATGGTTCCTATAATACTCAGAATCTGAACAACTTTTTATGCACTGGCCCACACTACAATTGGTTGCATTAATAGAGTGATCATCCTCTGCTTGCCTCACATTTATTGTAATGTATGCCCAAGCATGCTTTTATATTAAGGCTACAATTGGTTGCTGAAGATGCAGTGCAACCCTTTGTAAAATCAGTAGTTGATTTTGGGATTCGTTGTCTTATTTGAGAGATATCCATTCAATATATTGTGTACGTGTCTGTATATGTATATAGCGGCTGTCTTAGACTTTGATAACTGGAATAGCCTCATTACACACATGAATCCCAAACTATTTTAAGGCTTGTATCTCATTCGCAAGTTGCTAATGAGATGTAAGCAGCTGCTGCAGTTTCTGGTTGTGGGAGGGTAGGAAATCAGCTGACCTTTTAATTTTGGTTCACCAGACAGGTTGGATTTGACAAGGGTCTCTGAATATGCTTGATTTTTCTATCTACTGTCCTTTTGGCCATGCCACGTGAGATAAGTAATAGTACTCTTTGGGTTATTCTGTGTGCATTCTGTAGCATTGCCTTTTGAGGTGTGGTAATTAGGATGCTCAATGCCTGAGCATTTCAGTTGAGGCCTTGCTGATTCCTGTATTTAAAAATCCTACCTCATGTTTCAGGTAGGTAGACTGCTGCTTTTTTATAAATCATCCAGTCCAGGCAGGCCCGAGGTGTCAATGGAATGGCTAAGGAGGTATCTATGAAGCTAATCTGATTTTCACTGCTGGTTGCCTATATTTGGGTTGGAACTGAAAAATAACACCATCTCCCAACTGCCCCAATTTCTTCAAACCTCTCTGTCGTGCTATTCCTGTGCCCTGTCTTAATGCAGTCAGATTCACTGACTCAGTGAGCCAGATGAATCATCTGATTCCCACCTGTGGAATATTTCCTGGCACTCAAACTGCCAGAAAATAATCATGTAATTGCTTGAGTGCCTTGCACTCCTTATCGAGTAAAAAGACTCTTAGATCATCTGGAACTGGTATCCGGAATGAATCCTTTAACGTTAATTAATTCAGTGCCTTTCTAATAACACATTTCTGTGCATCTAACCACAATTTCTAACTACCCTCCAGCTCTGGCACATATTCTACATGCAATGAATGGAGTGTTACATAACTCATAAACAATAAGAACATAACTTGTACAATTTCATAATCTATGAACACCGTTGGCAGTTACTGCTAAATGACCACGTTAGTGTCCCAAAGCCCCGCTGTGCGTACAGTTTGGTCACTTGGAGACCTATAAAAATTCATCCATGTCATTTCTTTAGTACTAGACTAGATTTAGTTGAACTTCCCATACAAGTTTGTTGGCAAGTTCAGTTATACCTTGTGTCAGATCCACTTGACTCTGTGTGATTCTGTATTAGTTAAAATGAATGACAATGCACTTTTTTCTTTTCCTCTTGTTCTCTTTATTTTCATTTACCTCAAATTTATGTAGAACATGTCCTATTCACACTCTATTCAGTACTGGTGCTCTTATGTGCCTCTGGCAGCATTTTTCCTCTTTCTTTGTTTCTCTGTTTTGTTACTTTGTAGTTTCTAGCTTTGACTGATGTGCACATTCCTTGTCTTTCCTCAGCAGCCAGGGCTAATTTCTATCCAAATCTTTTCTGACCCTTTTGTCTATTCTTTTACTTATGGCACTTGGAAAAAATCTTTTCCTTTTATGTTGAACATTTTTCTTCACTCTTTTTTAAGCCTTATTAATCTCATTTTTAAATGTTCGTTCCACATAGTTTGCTTCGTTATTATCTTATTTTGATCAAATATCGTAACTTCTTTCCAAAATATAATTGATTTTTACTCAGTGGGTCCCTGCTGGTTTACATAGAAATGTTTTGTTTGTGAGAGCCTTTGTTTCCTTGAAACCGGTAGCTTTTTGTACCAGGCCTGAGGTGAAGTTATTTACTGATGAATAAGTATTTCCACCTCTGACTTGGTTAAACTGAAAGCTGCAAGTAATAAGCAACTTAAAAATGTAGAATTAAAATGTTTAAAGCACCTCCCATTACTGGATGGAAATTGAGTATTGCAGCATTTCTAATGGTATACTTATTACAGCACTCATCACATGATTTTGGACTCGATAAGATATGGCAGGTATGTTAACTTGATGAGCTGTGTGTGTGGTGTCTTCTGTTTCCTTTCTTCAGTGGAAATACTTGTACAGAAATGTAAGTATTGCCAAAATAGGGATATTTTGCTCCTGAACGAATACAACACATGCATTAGGTTTGTTCAAGACAACATGTTGATATCAAGATTCATTAACCTTTCAGTTTTTTTTTTCATTTCAGTGTTTTCCTGTTACATGTAAAAATATTTGCAGCATGTTTTATAGAAGTCCAGTGTAAATGAAATATTGTATTATGCTTCAGTGTTAATGTCTACATACTTATTTTTATTGTGGCATCCCTAACCTAAAGATAGGCTTTGCTTTTCAAATATACCACTTTTTTTTTTCCATATCGTGTGAAGAGATGGTTAATTAAGTTTGTTTTGCATTTGTGTGCAGCAGTTCTTAATTTAATTCAGCTTTTTAAGTTAGATAAAATTGCTGATTAAAAATCAATTCGTTTTAGCTCATGTTAACTGTGATTTGTGTTGTCTCCTCTGAAGACTTAATATTCATGTCAGAAGATATTAAAGTTGAAGATCCTTGATGAAATTTGTGCCAAATTACATTGAATAATCTGACTCTGTCCAATAAATGTAACTTCTGAATTGTTCCAATGTTAATTTTCCTTTTGAGGGAAACTGAAGAATGAAAATTTATTGACGTGAAACCAGAAAATGTTGGAAATAATCAACAAATCATGCAGCATCTATGGAACGAGTAACTCTGTTTAAGGCCGATGATCTATTGTCAGAACTGGAAGATGTTAGTGATGAACCAGCCTTATGGAAGTACAGATATGGGGAGGTACAGAAGGAACAAAAGCTGTACTCTGCCTATGCAGTTGCAGTGCCTTCAAAATCTGCCTGAGAAAGGCAGCAGTGAGATCTTGTGTTGAAGAATAGGAGCAATAAAATGAATGTTTTGCACATATTTAAATGAATTCAAATCCTGGGACTTGTTCACTGACCCACTCCAAAAGCTTCTCCACTCAGCTCCTGACCCCTCACTTCCTTCCCCTGCTCACTACCATTTTGCCTGACTGTTCACTGTCTCGGAGTGAGGGAGCAATGTGGCAAGTGGGAGGTGGGGAGTGGGGCACTGAGTGAAGTGGGGAGTGGTGAGACGGAGTGAAGTGGGAAGACCA